TCTATCCATGCCAATACATTACCTGTAATACCGTGCAACTTTATCTTATGTAGCAGCCTTTGGTGTGGCACCTTGTCAAATGCCTTCTGGAAATCCAGATACACCACATCCACAGGTTCCCCATTGTCCACCATGCAAGTAATGTCCTCAAAGAATTCCACCAAATTAGTTAAACATGACCTACCCTTCATGAACCCATGCTGGGTGTTCCCAATGGGACAATTTATATCCAATTTATAATATTATTGGCAAATGATTGAAAATATTTCACTTTTTTAATAAACAATTTGAAAATTGTAAACTTTAGTATAATTATATTGTTTGTATATGGGTGATGATAAGATCAATTCTCAGCTACAATAGATGTGTAATCATTTCAACAGAGAAATTAATTTTTAATGAAAGATTAAATTGATGTGCATTTTAGAAATTTAGAATATGACGTATTTGTCAATATGTTTGTAGAAAATAGGGGAAGGTACATTAGATTCCGATATAGACCTGCTCTGAATTGAACACAACTGGAGGGTAAGAATAAGGACATTATTTGCAAATGGTGAATAAAGTATTTTGTAGTAGCAAGATTATATAAGCTGAATTTAGGAAGAGCTATAAGGAAAATAGCAAGAGCAGCACTTTTGCAACTCTACATTTCCTTCCTGGTCTGTTTACTGCTTTAAGGCTCCGCTGAACTTTAGCCTTGGAATAGGTACTGCATTCTTAGTTACTTGCGCCTGTCTTTGACTGGACCTTCTAATTCCAAGATGGGGAGCGATAGAGGGCTGAGCTCAGCCACAAAAATTCTCTGGAAAAGGTTGAACTCTTTAAAACAAAAAGTTTAATCTTCCTTATGAAACCTAACATTTACAACCCATCGCTAAACTGCAAAGTGAATTTGTATTGGGAACGACATGGACACGAGGCTGTAACCATCTTCTTCAAAACTGCAATGCACCGTGGTGCTATATCAGATGTTTTACCAAATGTTAAATTGTCTCTTGATAATACGTTTGAAAATATCCTTCATTGTTTTATTACAGGACGATCATATAGAGGACACCCCAGAGTGCACCCTATCTTAAAGAACATATTCATCCCTTGAAACTGGTAAGAGCAGGATGATGTTCACTCGATCACAGCAGAAGGAATCTCTCCCATTTTGGATTTCAATATTTTAGAACAGTTTTGTTGTTGAATATCAAGTTTAAGTTAGACTTTAAAAAAAAACAAAATTAAACTGACAAAAGTCAAATTTTTCTTGCGTTTATTGTTGCAGAAGTAGAAATTTGAGATTTATGATCTTCTTGTGCTACACTGTTCTCTAGCCAAAATGGTGAGTTATTGATTTGTTCTGAACATGTACCATTTTGTTACGGGCAGTTAGGTAGACAACTTACTCTCCAGAAATCTGCCAATATTCTCAAGCCGGAACCTGTTCCAAATTTTCTGGGACAGCTCAATCTAATTTTTGCCACCCTGCCTTGGCTCTTCACAACTGCTTCCAATGCAAGGACGATATTGTTTAACTTGCTTTGTGGGAGTTTTTTTTATCCTTGTGTTATTATCTAAGTCAATGATGTTTAATGTACTAGAATTCTATTAACATTGTAAAATGATGTGATCAAAATAAATGTTGAGTGTAACAACCTTGTAATAATATCTTGTTAATAAAGCTGGAAAATTTAGAGCTTTATTGTCCACATGTTTGCAGAATGCAAAGCTATTATTGAAATAATCGATATTCCTACAGGAATTTATCTAGTGCCTCAAAAAGTCACTTCTGCCATGATATCTTTGATAAAAACGGCACCTTTTATGATCTAGGGATGAGAGTAGCTGAAGACAAATAGATGTGAATTTTTTGTGACAAGGAATCATGTACACATTGTAGAGCAAAATGTCAAATGATCTGTGATGAAATGCAAATACTTCTGAGCCACTACAACTGAGTGGAACTTTTGGATTTCAAATGAGTAGAAACATGACTGATCCCTTTGTTCAGCATCTGGTATCGTACAAATTGTGAACCTACGCTTTTGTGTAACATCATCAAAGTGACCTTTGTTTTTCAATGTTTAGTGCAATTCATGTATATATTACGGGGTCCATGCTAACAACAGAAAATTATCTTGCTGGGTTATGTGCATATGAAATGAAGTGTGGAAGTCGGTAAAGCATGTAAAAGGACACAGTTCCATAAATAACAAGTCAGAATTCTGCGAAAAGGTGGAAATTTCTCTTCCCTGACAATTATATCAAGTCCTGATCCACCATTTGAAGCTACAGCTTGGATTATAGTCAGCTCTCAGTCATTCTTAGCTGTCCCCAAAAAGGATTTTTTTCACACTGTTGTTCTGAGTTTTTTATTGTTAGATTTTTTAGTAATTAATCATCCACTTACTGAGCTGGTGCAATTACAGATAGAGAATCCCTTGAAGATTGTTCAAGTATGGAATCTGCCAGCTGTTTTAAATACAAACATATTTGTGTTTCCTTTGTACCCCTTAACATCCTGGGCTGCTAAGTGCCATGACATAGGCTGACCCTTGTTGATTTCTTTGCAGCCACCAACGTCTCCCAGTCTTAGTTTGAAATTTTATGTGGCACATCACATTGTGTGGTAACTGATTTCCCTGACACCTATCTTTTGTGTTTCTCAGAATATCAAGCCTTTTCTTCATGTAGGAGGTGCTGCTTTATTTTAAAGTGACACGTTTGTAAGTCTTGCCTTAAAAATGCATTTGTTGAACCATGCTGCATATTGTCTCTCACACCAAGGGAGGAGGTCTCAAGTGGAGCTCCTGCCCCATATAAGCTTCTTCAGTCATAGTGATGAACCATTTCCAGCCCAGATTGGTTGTGTATTGGCCAAAATATCTTTTAATGCCTTGAAGCATCTCCTGTCCACCCTATACCCCCCAACACAAATAGACAGATAGACAGACACACGCACATGCATGCGTGCACATACTCTCACTCACACACACACTCTGTCTCTCTCTCTCTGTGCAATTTTTATTCACTGTATTGGAGAATGGGATTGATTGTCATAGCTGCCACATCTCTGGGTTGGGACTTGATTCTGGTGAATTCCCACATTCAGTGTGCTGCAGAACTGACATTTAGTTTCCAGCGCTCTTCTCACAATGCTTTTTCATTACTGTACATTTGATAATACACTAACTATGTTCCAAGACTGCTGCAATGTACAAACAGTGATCAAATGGCACATCAGGTTGAACAATGTATGGTAAGGATATAGTAATGCCAATAAAAACTGAAAGAACTGCGGATGCTGTAAATCAGAAACATAAACAGAAGTTGCTGGAAAAGCTCAGCAGGTCTGGCAGCATCTGTGAAGAGAAATCAGAGTTAACGTTTTGGGTCCAGTGGCCCTTCCTCACAACTGTTCTGAGGGTAGGATCAGCTTTTCCAGCAACTTCTGTTTTTGTATGTGATGGTAATGCCTATGCTGGAGCTTCATTTGAACTGTGATCCCTCAGAATAATAATGCATTGGATATGTGTGGAATAGACTATCTGACAAGTAAACATAGCATATTGGTGCATCTTAACAAGAAGTAATTAGCTTAGAAATATGATGAGGACTTAAACAAAGTTAGCGAAAGGTATCAATGATTTTAATGTATTCTTCCAGTATTGTGACAGAGAAAAAGAGAGTAAAATTCAAGAAGATAAGAACCTGTGATGTTTACACCAGAAAAGCAGAAAGTTTGATTGAGTGCCTGTTCCACTTCTTTGGAGCAATCTTAAACTAATCTCTCAGTCACTGCTTTAACAGCATCTTGGAGGAAAACATCACATGCTCCCAATAATCTTGTGTATAAAGGGTGAAACCTAAGGTAAGAGTTAAAATGCATTTTTACAATGTATCACTACAATGCATTTATCAAAGAAAATCGCACTAACTTTCCAAATGTCAATATCTACAATGCATTTATCAAAGAAAATTACACTAACTTTCTATGTATTATTGCGTGTAGGAAATCAGAGCTACTTGGGACAACAGGCTAACACATCCCTTGCACCAAGTGACATTTAGAATAGTACAGCACAGGCACATGACATCCCTTTGAAAGAGCTAACTAATTAGTCCTGCTCTTTTCCTTCCTTGTACTGTTGCGGATTTTCTTCAAGTGTTGAAGAATGTAAGAAACAAACCACATGCCCCCTTCAAACCTGCCCTATCACTCATTATAATCATTGCTGATTTTCTGCCTTAGCTCCTTTCCTATTTGCTCCCCACATCTCTTGATTCCCCAAGATATTTGAAAACTTATCTATCGAGCACCACAACCCTTCGGAGTGGAAAATTTCAGATTCACATCCCTTGGGCAGGAGACATTTTTCCACATAAGATGATAAAAAATAAGAACAGGAGTAGATTACTCGGCCCTTCAAACCCTCTGTGCCATTGAATTGCAACGTGGTTGATCCAACATTCCTCATGTCCATTTCCCTGCCTTTTCTCCATAGCCCTTGATTCACCGACTGATCAAGAATTTATCTATCACAGCTTTAAATATACATAAGGACTCTGCTGCCACAGCTCTCTTAAACTATCCATGACAAAGCAGCTTGCTTGAAGACACCCCATTCTAACGCCTTCAACAGTACTCCCTCCATTATCAATGCACAGTGGCAGCTTGTGTACCACTTACAAGATTTTTGCAATGGATCCTTTGACAGTACCTACCAAACAAAGGAACACCATCATCTGCAAGATCCCCTTCAAGTCATCACTCTGACTTTGAGTTACATTGTTTTTCCCTCCCTGTCACTGTGTTAAAATCCTGGAATTCCTTCCCTAACAGCACTGTGGGAGCATTTGCACTGCATTGACTGTAGTGGCTCAAGAAGGCAGCTCACTATCTTCTCAACAGTGATTAGGAATGAGAAACAAGTGCTGTTTTGACAAACAATACACACATCCCATGAATGAATAGAAACCATTATTAATGATAGTGCTTTTCTCAATGGAGCATGGCCTACGATATAGAAATTTAAGCAGTGCAACTATTTTTTTTCCAATGTGCAGGAGTACTTGTGGAACTTTTAAATTCATTCGTGGGGTATTGGCATTGCTGACCAAGCTAGCATTTATTGCTTATCCATAACTGTCCTTGAGAAGCTTGAGATAATATCCCTTCTTGAACTATTGCAATCCTTGGTAGGGCAGCCCACAGTGCTTTCAGGAGTTAAACTGTCATGGGGCATAAGAGATCATGCTGGATGTACAGAGGACATTAGGTTGCTGAAGTTGGAATGGATGGGGAATGTGTGTGATGGGGGGGAGTAAGAGTAAATCTTCGAGGAATGTTGTATTTCTTGTGGAGAGGTAAGATACCATTTGGGTTCCAATTAGGGGCAACTTTGAATGAGGTAAGGCACCTTCTGAGTTTCTGAAAAGGCATACTGATATAAACAAAGTGCACAAACCCGTTTCGACTTGAAAAGTTGTGAAGCAACTGCCCAAATAATGTGAAGTTCAGAAAAGATGTTGCTAAGTATTTGTGTGTGCCAATGGTAGAAAACCATTCATTTTCACACTGGGCTGTCTAATGAGAATTGCTCCACCTGCTTCTTGATTGTAACATGTATTAACTCAGTGTTTTTAAGTACTTGAAAGAAATGTTTATTGATATAAGATATAAACCACAAGTGGAATGTTTAACATATCGTAATGTTTGTTTTCATCAGGCATTTGTTCTTGCAGTTTCATGGCATTGGGTGTTTGTTTTCTATCAATGACAGTTTTCTTGTTTTGAATAGCGAGACACCCTATAGTTTGGTACCCAGTTTTTTTTCTGATACACCCTGATTAATGTCCATGCTGTATAAAAGATGAGTGGGCATGGAGAGGAAAGGACAAAGAGTATTTTGCTGGAGAAGAGTTAGCATTGGGGCTAAAAATGGGCATGGCAGTGATTTGGGCCATATTGGGTGTGACAAGCCCTGGGGGCTGGGGGCAGGAAAATTTGAGGTTGTTGACTTGCTCACCGAGCTGGCTTGTTTTCATACAGACGTTTCGTCACCATGCTAGGTAACATCATCAGTGAGGCCTCCGATGAAGCGATGTTGTCCTACTCCGCTTGGAATTTATACTGTCTGGTCTGTATGGTGATTGTGTCATTTCTGGTTCTGTTCTGTATGGGTTTTTATATGGGGTCCAATTCTGTATGTTTGTTGATTGCATTGCGGACTGATAACCATGCCTCTAGGAATTCCTGTGTGTGTCTATGTTTGGCTTGGGCTAGAATTTAGAATTAAGAGGGCTAGAATACAAATGTTGTATAAGGTTCTGCTCAGTCCGCATTTGGAATATTGTGAGCAGTCTTGGGTCCTGTATCTCAGGAACGATGTGCTGAACTTGGAGGGGGTCCAGAGGGGGTGTTGCAAGAATGATCCCAGGGATAAAGGGCTTGTCATATGAGGAGCGGTTGAAGACTCGGGGTCTGTACTCAATGGAGTTTAGAGGGATTGGTGGGAGGGTGGAAGCTGATTGAAACTTACAGAATACTGAGAGGCCTGGATAGACTGGACATGGAGAATATGTTTCCACTTAGGAGACACTAGGACTCAAAGGAATAGCCTCGGAGTGAAGGGACCACCCTTTGGAATTTCCTCAGCCAGAAGGTGGTTAATCTGTGGTACACATTGCCACAGG